TTACATAGAAGGAGTAGGTGTGAGTCATGGGTTACACAACCGGGCATGGGGATAAGATGAAGGCTTGACATTACAAGATGGAAACTTGACATGACTTATGCTAACTTACATATATAGGCCTAAAACAGTAATCACACAATATAAAAGCAGTAAAAAAAAAAAATCAATACAAACATAATAATTATCACTTATAGAACAGTGGATATCTATATCAAAGTAGCAGGGCACTTATTAGCAAAGAGGGGAGAGAAAAATAAAACTTACTACCTAAAATAAAATGTTAAAGCTTATCCTACATCTTATTTTACTTATACTTATAAAAAATGAAAAACTGGGGGTTTTGCTACATATTACGCACCTGCTCCTGCCCAGCCCTTTCCCCTGACCAGAAGGATCAAAGAGAACATGTTCTGAGCCCCAGCCCCTTCCCCTTTGCACCTAGAGCCCTGTACTCACTTTTGATAAGCTCAGGGTTTCCCCTGGCAATATCTTTGGTGCCCACATGGATGAGCAGCATGGGGTAGTAGTCAGAGGGCCAGATGAGCCTCAGTAGTACCTCTGTGACATCTCAGATCCAGGCTCCAGGCAAGCAGCAGATCTCCCAAGACAACAGGTCAGGTTGGCAGATAGCACCCACTTTCCCCCGCAGAAGGGACTCTCCAACCACCACCACCCTTTGCTTCTTCTTGGTGGCGGTCATCTCAATCCTTCCCACCTTCGTAAGGCCTAGCCTGTCTTCTTCCACCAATGGCATGTGCTCCTCCATCTCTGTTGCTAGGGCTGCATATCCATTCTCCAGATGAACCACTGCAGGTGGAAGTGAAGATCTCTGCTTGCTGCCAGAATTCACAAGCCTCCAGCTTCCACCCTCTTGGGTGTCCATGTCCTCTCTCTTCTCTAGCAATTGGGCCCTGCATGCCAGGATCAAGCCCCACCCCACCCCTGTGCATGAGAATCAGGCTCTGGAGTCCTGTGCTGCACCTGGGCTCCATGTCCCCACCACACACTGCATACCAGGATCAGGCCCTGGGAATCCATGCTACCTCTACCCACTGGGATTGGCCCTTGTGCCACACAATCCAGCACGTGCAGCCACACTAGCCAGCTCATGAGGCTCATCATGAGTCTGGAAATTTGGCAGCTACCACTACCCTGCCTCCAAATTTGTATACCTGTGGGGAGCCCCATGAGCTGGATGATACAGCTACAGGTGCCAGATATGGCCCACAGGCTAGGGATTGAACATCCCTGACCTAGAGAGTATGGGATTTTCCATCACTGGAAGTTTTTAATACAGATTAGAAAAACGTTTGTGTGGGATGGTTTAGGGACAATCTTGCCTTGGAGCCCTTTGTGCCTTCCAGCTGATGTCCCTTCCAAACCTATTCTTCTATGTTTCCATGACAATCCCTCTTCGAAGATGCAGCAAGATACTGCCTGGTTTCAATCTAGGGAAAAAAGGCCCGTCTCAGGGAGTCCTCCTGGAATACAAGAACATAGCCCCAAATTTGTGTTTGTCCCAGAAAATTCAGGGAAGTTGGCTGCTTTATCTTGAGGTTACACAGATATGCTTCAGTTAAATTCATATATTAGCTCTTCTGGCTGGATATTAAAGTTGGACAAATACTATATTAGTTTTCTGTAATACTGAATTTAATTGTGAAATGAATTAGCTTTCTCTGTCTTTGCTTTCAGAAGGTTCACATATCCTAGAGTTTACCCCAAGTTAATTTCCAATTACCTGGAGGTAATTAACATAGCTCAGGCTAGTTTGAGACTAGCCTGAACACTTCCTAAGGGTTTGCTCCTATTCCAAACTGATATTAAAAAAAAATCATAGTATGCATATTTGTTTTTAATGAACTAGCCTATTTTAGGTTGCAACATTCTTCACTCTTACATGCCTATCAAAAACCAGGATCTATGTGCCATCCCACAACATTAGTAGTTGCTTGTTAGATTCTCAAAACAGTATTCAGAAAACATCCCTTAGGCTCTGATACTGTAGGCCTAATCCTATAAACATTTACACCTCATGCCCTATTCTTGCAAGTGATTATACAGGCAGACCTGCAAGCTCATGCCTATAATTCTCTGATGCTCTAGCCACAAAGAATCATATTCCTGAAGATTTACTTTATGTACAGGGAACAGTCCCACTAACTTGTAATCCTACAAGTGCAATGGGACTGCTCTAGTAGGAAGAATCCAGTAACTGCATAAATCATGGCAAGCTTGAGTCATTAAATTGTAGGTTCTTTATGGCAAGTAAGTTCTCTATATAGCTGTCCTGCATTTAACAATAGAGCCACTTTAACGATTTGGGCCCCTGGATACTACTAAAACTATAATCAATAATTATTATTAATGGAGACTAATTGCATCTGAATATGTACACTGCAATGTAATTACTGTGTCCTTAATTGGTTTTAATTAATTTGATTTCATTACCTCTGGCAACTTTTGTGAATTACCAGTTTTCAAACAAAAAAATCCCTTCCTCTGATGACGTTTCTGTCAGACATAAGCAACCAGCCAGATGTTAATACAGTGGAAAAACCCAAAACCGTAAACCTAAAATTATCACATCACCATACAAATTACCAGGATTGCAAAAGAAAGGTCTTACTAGGTTGTATACGATACATCAAAAAAAACTTGTGACCAAGTATTCTTATTTGAAATAAGACTCCCAATTTCACAGCTAGCATCACTGTCAAAATCTAGACGCTAGATGGTGCTAACTGTTTGATACTCTCTCTCTCTAGTAATACTTTTTTCTTGCTCCTCACAGTTCATTGCAACCACAGATTTGACACAATGTGCATTCCCAGGAGTTGCTGTGTAATTACTCTTTTTGAATCACCTCATCATTATTATTATATGTACAACACTGTGACTGTATGTATCCCAATTTAATTTCAAGTCATAATTTTTCCTTGACATAGCTGGGCCTTGTCACAGGAATCAGGGCTTCTTTAAGAAAAATGTATGGCATCTTCGCACAATTTATGTACTGAATACATAAGCTGAGGTGGGACATGGTACAATAAAGTACAAAATCTCAGGAGGAACATGCCCATATACAGTTTGGAAAGCCACCACTGAATTAAAGTTTGAAAGAATCCATAATTGAAAGGAATAACATCAAGTCAAATGTATCCTCAGACTGAGATTTTTTTTCTGTTTCTCACACACACACATTCATACACACTTAAAACATACTTATCCTCAGTAAAAATAGTTAATTACAGTTTGTCTGTTCCTTTTAAATTCCAAGCCCTTCCAGTTGCTACCCTATTTTTACCATAATGAGGCCAAATTTCTCTCTCTCTCTCTCACACACACACACACACACACCCCTCTATCTCAAAATACCATTTTCAACACTGGTACAACCTTCATAGATTCATAGATGTTAGAGTCAGAAGGGACCTCAGTAGGTCGTCGAGTCCAACCCCCTGCATAGGCAGGAAAGTGTGGGTTCAGATGACCCCAGCCAGATGCCTATCTAACCTCCTCTTGAAGACCCCCAGGGTAGGGGAGAGCACCACCTCCCTTGGGAGCCCATTCCAGACCTTGGCCACTCTAACTGTGAAGAAGTTCTTCCTAATGTCCAGTCTAAATCTGCTCTCTGCTAGCTTATGGCCATTATTTCTTGTAGCCCCCAGAAACCTTCACTTTCACTTATTTTCTCCCCTTTCACTTTTGTTTCTTACGACATCATTTTTTGCCCTGTTCTATTTTATCAGTTAAACTACCCCTCTATCTATCTGCCCACTTCTCCTGAAGCCTTCTATGCTCATTTTTATGCTTTCCTTTACAAGAGAAACACTGTATCCACACTTAACTGTAGGTCACCATCTGAAGCCCATATACTCCTTCAAAGCCTGGTCAAGTTCCTCTTCCATATGTCTATGAGTAGTTAGTCAACTAATTAAGGACAGCTTAAGACAGTTAGATATAGCTGAACTGCACTGATTTAAACCCTAAAAATATACATTTCTGCCTAATAGATATAAAAATGAAGATATTTCACCCTCCACCCTTTCCGAATACGTTTATGTGGTCATCTTCAAGCATATGAATAGTTCCAATAGCCCTACTACTTGCATACTTAAACATAAGCACCTGCATAACTCTTCAAGACATTGGGCCTCTTAACTGTATCTTTCTTCTTCATCCTAACTTGTTGCTCTTTACAGAAGAGAGGGAGCGCACACAAGAAAAACCAGGTTGAGATTATCAAAATAAATTAGAGAATTTAGCTCCAAGACTGCCTTAAAAATATACTTTCAGAGGTGTTTTATAGCACCTGGCACAATAGAGCACTGCTACTGCTTGGAGTTTTTGGACTTGGAGCTAATAGAACTTTTGCACAGAGCTGATAAAAAAGCTGTACGTACAGCAACAAACATACCGAATACAAGCATTCCCCCCAAATCCAAGTCTCTGTGTTTCAAAATACAAGAATTTTTGTTTTCAAAATAGGTCTCTTTTCCACAGGCACTCTTTTCTCATTTTTGTTTACCCCCCTGACATATACTCACTTTTATTTCCTCCTAATCATTTTAGCATTTGCTCACTGTAAACGGAAATGACGAAACATGTCAGAAAAACAAAAACATGGTCTCAGGAAGTCAAAACCCAAACCCAAGTTGGCCACTTTTCCTGGAAAACTGGAAAAATCTAAAATCCAAAAAAAATACCTGGGAGACTTTTACAAAAAGCTCCCAATTTAGCAACCATGACTACATTTTACAGAAGAGTCTGAAATTAAATCTTTCTGCTGTCCCAAATTTTGGCTGTTGATTTAAATCAAACTTGTAAAAAACAGAGAGCAACTCATCACTGCAATGGCATGAGCAAAGCAACATGTGGAACAGAGGCAACAACTAGCAATGGGGACTTGGCATAGCCCCAGAGCAATGCCTGGTATGTAGCACAAGGGTGTAGCTGTTCAGAAGACTGGCATCTAAAACAGGAGGCCCCTGCTGTACTGAACACTGCTAGAGAAGAGGAACAGTGACCTGACTGCACGAAAGACTCAAGCAGAAGCCTAATTTGCCTCAAGATTTGTGATGTGAATCAAGGTATTTTCATTTTGTGTTCACATGGAACATCTGGTATGAACTTAGACTGGCTTTAGATAAATGTTTTTTAATGCAGTTTTAGCAAGCTCCAATTGTATAAACAGAAACATCAGGAAGAGGAGGTGGAGGGGGCAGCAGTGTAAAGGGAGCACTAATGCAAGGAAATTGGACAAGGGCAACCTTGTGACTGACTGCCTCAAGAGCCCAGCTGGGTTGTCTATATGAACCATCTAGCCACTGAGTCACTTTGCTGCCAGCAACTAAAACCCTCAGAGGCACTTCTCAGAGAGACTGGAAGCAATTCTTGTTCAGCTTACAGAATTAGCCAGAGACTTGAGCTTGCTGCACACTGGACTTAGTTAACAATTTAGGCCTTGCTTGCTGGATGTCAGTTTTGCTATGCCTAAAGCTCATGAGGGGAGATACACTCTCCATGGCACAAGGGGTATAAACTGCAACTCATAGCAACAGCTGCAAAGAAACAGCTGCTTTCCCTTAGGGGTCCCCTGAAAGGCAGCATGTCAACTATTAAGCTGAGACTCCAGTATATCCTCAGGATACGCACTGAATTAATACATCAAATCTAACCCCACTTACAATTGGGTTGTACTGACCAACTGTAAACTGCCGGCTAGGGCAAGCTTGCAGGCACCAACCCTTTCAAACGATACTTAATAAACTTTCCCATTTCTGAAATTTAGAATGTGTCACTTAGTTTCATGTCAGTGTGTTTGGGTCTTTCCATGGGCAACCCTTCTCCTGCCTTATAAACACAATAGCTGGTAGAGCCTTGGAGTCGCCAGAGATTTGCATCTTGTATTTTTTTTATTCTTATATATCTTGTACAAGCTGCCCATTCCAAATCTAAAATGATACAACGCACTAAGATTTTTTTAGTGGTGGATTTGTCTATTTTCAAAATCTATCACTCACTTTTATTATGTCCTTTAATATATTATATCATTAAAGAAGAAAATTTCAGCAATGGAAATCTCAATAGCTCAATTACTCCATCTAGACGCCACCTCTGTCTCCTTAGTACAAGAGCTGTGAAGCAAACGTAGTACAGATAGTCAAAAGTGTTTAAGTATAGAGACGATTCATTATTTCAAAGCAGAAATGTACATTGTCACAACCCAGTGATTTTGGTGCCTCGGCACTATGGAATTTCCTGGCCACATGAGAGCTCCTTTGCACGGCAGGGTGTTCTGCTGCAATTGAGAACCTGCATGCAGGAGAGTTCCCGCCAATTTGCAGTTTCCTTTGCAAGATGCATTTCTTCTTTGCAGCACAGAAATGCACGGTGCAAAGAGTTCCCGCTATTCGGATGCAAATTTGTGCCCCGCTATTGGCCAGTGCTAAATTATTCACACGTGGCGGCTAGTAATTGGCTCGCTGGCCGTTTAAAATTCTGCGCGACTTCCGCCCAAGTCGAAGAGCTTTGAGCACGCTGCAGAGTGCCTCTGAAGTTATCTGACTTGCGGCTGCCGATCGATAGACTGATCACCTATCGATCTTTCTTCCCGTCACCGAGCGCAACCC